AGAATCGGATTTTCTGTAACGCCACGTGGAGATCCGACAGGCAGAGGACGATGGAGCCGTCGGATAAATTTCCCGGCAGTTGGTCGCGAATCTCCTCGAAGAAAATCGACAGGATCGAAATCTGGCGAGAAGTTTCGCGGGCGTTTTTGCGCTGGGTCGGGAAAGGTTTCGATTGGTGTATGATGCAGATGGATTTTGAAATATTGATCAGAGATTCCAGAAGGGTCGCCGGAGATATGCCTTCGCAGGGATGGACCGCCGGGAATTCAAGAAACCGGCGATCGCTCCGGTGGGATTTTTGAATCATTTGATTGGGGGAAAAAGGAAAAAAGATTGTATTTTTTGGCACCCTTTTTGTCAATTTGGTGTTTTTCGTGGCAACTGAAAATAGGGGAGATTTGAAAATCAGTTGGTCGAGGCGATATGATATTAAGGGAGGGTTTAAGCCGGAGATATTTAGTGGACACGTGGCAGGATCTACGCGGGTTTTGACTGATACATGGCTGGTGAAGAATTGCGACACCTGGGGTGGACACGTGTGCGGGTCGAAGTGGGTGTTGAGGATGTTTCTTGGATCATGTCAGGTGGGGAGAGCTTTAGGCCGTGTTTGGTTTGGGATAAATTAAGGTAGAAAAGTCAATGTGTTATCCAATCGCAACTTTCATCTCCCCCAAATTATCCAAACACGCCCTTGCAAGGTTTCTGGTAAATAACCGACACCGTGTACTTGTGGCAATTGATTATTATTATTGCTATAATAACCTGTTCCTGAGGCTAAACCCAAGTTGTTTGGGGCAATTAATTAAGATTTTACGTATAACCGAAAGTGACAACAGATTAATTTTATTTTATTATTTTTGTTGGTATACATTTCTTTTTTGATACCGAGGTTTCAGTCTTGTGCCTGACTATTACTCGAGGAAACAATCCTCGACCCCGCAAAAACTGCCTCCAATTAAATCGCGGTAGCCATGCAATGGCTTCCAGGTTTCTAACACCCTCAACTATCGCGCACAAGTATTGGTATATATTTTAATATAACGTGTGTATTCTTCAAAATAAGATCAATTTACATGTGGATGTATATATGATTTAATTAATCATGGCAGTCTTATTTATATTTTTTGAGTCTTGGGTTCTTGTTAAGTGTATGCATATAGAATTTGAATATTCAACCTCACATACAATACCTTTTGGTATAATTAATTCAGCACGTATTGATTAATTATAAGGTCAAAAGTGATATATGTGTTGCTAATGTTGTAATTTATTTATAATTGTGTTTGTGGTGTACAATCTCCAGCTGTTTTAAGCAAAGCATTTTCTTTCAATTCACAAGGTAATCATTTATTGAAAGCCATTAAATTTGAATGAGATTAGATGAGCACTAATTTCGTGAAATTATTGCTTTACTTTGTCCAATTACATACTTGGAGAGGGACACGATCATATTTTTCAACCGTTACACTGTTAGAACAAGTCTAATAGTTGGATATTTTTATATATTTTTTTTAATAAATATGTATATTTTTATATATAAGTGACGTAGATTGTAAACAGTACAAGCTAAACTATGACATTTTACTGTATAATTATACATTTTTGTTAATAAAATATTGAGTCGACTTGACTAACTGTTATTCACTTATACTGTCTCAAACAAAAATTTGTGTTATTGAATTAATATACAAAGTTTCATACCAAATTTAAAAAAATAAAAAAAAAACATGAATATATATATATATATATACATTAAAAAATATATGATATATGGATTCACCAAACAAATAGAAGGTGACCAAAATATTTGTGACTTGAGTAAAGTTTCCAACCACAAGACAAAAATTTATGACAGAAAGTGACTTGAAACTTTATTAGAAAAAATCTATAAGTTTCAATTTGAATATGGATGGACAGATATGATCCATCACTAAATTAGAAAGTTACATGTTGATGCCATTTATTTGGAAATCCAGATTTTACTTTTCTTTATTCTTTTAATATTACTGTACATGCAATTAGAGTGAGAAAATTACTTTTGAAATTAAAAGAAATGTAAAGATTGTAACTAAATTGTAAAATAAAAATTAAATTGCTGATATTATTTCACATTCTTTGGATAGTATTGAAGTATGATTTGTAGTTTGTATTTGGTGAATAACGGTGCGATTTGGTTTTTCATACAAATAAATAAAATCAAAACTAAAAAAAAAAAAGATTGATTCGAGTTCACACGAAGTTCAAGTCCATTTTTCGATATTCACATTTCACGCGATTTTCTACACATTTGGCTTCGATTCGATTAAAACCACACCAACCCAAAGAAATAAAAACAAAACTTGTAAAAACAGATTATTCAATAGTACCACGATACATAAAAAAAAAAAGTAAAAGTTAACCAAATTGAACAAAAATTTTCTACACTGAAATAAACCGATTCGCAGCACCACACCACACTGGACCAAATTGCTCGATTTGACTCGGTTTTTTGTCACACTTAATATTAAAAATAACCAAAAAAAAAAAAATGAAATGAAGGACTGGCATGTAACTATCATGGTACTATCACCATATAGACACGAATTATAGTTGAATATTCTCTAACTATATATAAAAAATGAGGAAATAGATTTTACGTGGACCAATCACAAGCCGAAAGCTGTGATGCCATTTTGGTAAGCATCCTACGTGGACATGGTCAACTATGTAAGTAACAACATTTTGATTTTCTACCTTATCTTTAAGCTGGTAGACGTGTCCGTATATATATAAATAAATAAATAAATAAATAAATAAAAAATTAGTGTCTACATTCATGAAATTGAAATGACACGAACATGTAGTAACCAACTGGATTTCAAGGTGTCAAATGAGCGGATTTTCGCGTACACAATTTTGTTTAAAGTTTGAGTTTGACTCGTTTATTTATTTAAATAAATCAAACTCGAACAATATAAGAGCATTCACAATGATTAGGGTTTATTCAGAAAAAATTATACGACACATAGGAAATAAACTTAGCCAAAAAAATTATATTCTTCAATGCAAGTGCAATTGGATCGGGTGTGACAGTAAGAAAAAGAAACTCTGTCTAGCCTTAAGTCTATTTTAGACTCAAGTAGAGACCAAGTCTCTTTGCATTGAATTGAATTGTGTTATTTTTACATAATTTTATTTATGTCATTCAAGACTTGAGTTTATCTAAATATTACGTAAGCAAAAACAAGACTCAAAGCATTGTAGATGCTCTAAATGAATTAACTTACATATTAAAAGCAATGTTGCGTGAAGGTAGAAGGCTCGCGGTGTAAGAAATTTAACGGGTATATCCATAACTATTAGGCGGAATTGAATAAACCCTAAGCATTTAATTCTATCAATTCATAGAATATGGATCTTTTGCATTAA